TTTATTTATTTCGAGCATTTCTACTCCTTCTCAACCCCCGAAGGGTTTGGTGGGCATTGATTTTGAGTTTTGGAATTGTAGTTCATCAACACCCAGAGAGCACTGCGTACTCAAACAATGTGGATCTGGATCAAACTTGGCACATATACTCAATATACCCAAATGTGAACACTGGCAGAGTTTGGGGAAAATAGACCTAGACATTTGGGAACTGTATTTGTGGGATTTATAGTTCATCTACAACCAAAGAACATTCTGAACTACACCAACAACAGAATTGAACCAAACTTGGCACACAGAACTCCCACAACCAACAGAAAATACTGGGAGGGTTTAGTGGGCATTGACCTTGAGTTTGGGAGTTGTAGTTCATCTACATCCAGAGAGCACTGTGAACTCAAACAATGGTGGAGCTAGACCAAACTTGGCACAAATACTCAGTATGCCCAAATTTGAACACTGGTGGAGTTTGGGGAAAGCCTTGACATTTGGGAGTTGTAGTTGCTGGGATTTATAGTTCTCCTACAATCAAAGTGCATTTTGAAATCCACTGACAATGGAATTGAACCACACTTGGCACACAGAGCTCCAATGACCAACTGAAAATACTGGAAGGGTTTGGTGAACATTGACCTTGAGTTTTGGAGTTGTAGTTCACCTACATCCAGAGAGCACTGTGGACTCAAACAGTGATGGATCTGGACCAAACTTGGCATGAATACTCAATATGCCCAAATGTGAACACTGATGGAGTTTGAGGAAAATAGACCTTGATATTTGGGAGTTGTAGTTGCTGGGATTTATAATTCTCCTACAGTCAAATTTATTTATTTACTATATTTCTATACTGCCATTCTTAGCCCGAGAGCATTCTGAACTCCACCAATGATAGAATTGAGTCAAACTTCCCACACAGAACCTCCATGCCATGAAGGTACTTCCTTTGCACGTGCCTCTCTCTCTTTGGTGGCCCCTGTGAAACCCCCTTGTGACCCCCAGGTTGAGAAACGCTGCGCTAAAAGATCGGGAAACCATGAATCCCTATGAAGAACGGATTAGGAAAGTGTGTATGTTTAGCCTGCAGAAAATAAGGTTAAGGAGGCACCGGAGAACTGTGTTTTAAAAATGTGAAAGGATATAATGTTGTGGAGGGCACAAGTTGTTTCCTGCTGCTCCGGAGACTAAGACATGGAACAACAGAGTCAAACAACGAGAAAAGAGATTCCACTTAAATATTAGGAAGAATTTCCTGATAGAAAGAGTCGTTTGAATCCGCTATTTGGGAGTCCCAATGGAGTCTTCTTCTCCGGAGGTTTTTAAGCATAGGGTGGAAGCCCATCTGTCAGGAGGGCTTTGATTGTGGTGGAATAGGGTTGGACTGGATGACCCTTAGGGTGTCTTTCAACTCTATGATTCTATGAAAACAGAGAACCCTGATAGTGAAAGCAGCATGGATAATAGGTCAGCCACAAAGCAGCTCTCTCGTCTTTTCGCTTAGGACTTTGGTGCCCGGAACATAAACAAATGAATTGTGGTTTGCAGTGCCCTCGCGTGTCAGCAACGGGTACGGCAACCCACCTTCCATTCCTATCTGGTTGAGAAGAACCCTGTCTTTGTAGAGATGGAAGAAACGTAACTGCTTCTCTATCAACACCATGAAAAATTAGAACAAAGTATTAACTCCTAAACAGTTCCCACGTCGTTTTGGAAAACCTAACATGAGAGCCAAGTGTAGAATCATAGAATCCTGGCGTTGGAAGAGACCTCATGGGCCATCCAGTCCAACAACCTGCTATAAAAGGAAATCGCTCTCAAAGCACCCCTGACATATGGCCATCCATTCTCTGTTTCAAAGCCTCCAAAGAAGGAGCCGCCACCACACTCTGGGGCAGAGAGTTCCACTGCTGAACAGCTCTCACAGTCAGGAAGTTCTTCCTAATGTTCAGGTGGAATCTCCTTTCTTCCCTGTAGTTGGAAGTGAATATTTTTTTTTGTAAATTCTTATGCGTTTTCATTATCCTTCACTAAACTGTTTAGTTAGTACTATTGGACTCTTGTGTGGTGCTGGGTGCAAAGGTGAATTCAGGCGGACAAACACCGCATTCCAGAGGCAGCAAAGACCATCTGATTCTATCAGATGTTGTATTTATGCAGGAGAATAAAAAAGCCAGAATTATCTTGTTGCTTTGACACTGGATGTTGGCTGTAATTGCTCCTTTTTCTGAAGACAGTTCACATTACTTACCTTGACTTATTTATTTATTTAGAGTATTTATATTCTGCCCTTCTCACTTGGAAGGGGACCCAGGGTGGATCACAATGCACACATACACAGCAAACATTCAATGCCATTTTTAGACATACAGACAGACAGATGGAGGGATTTCAACTTCGGCGCCTGGAGGTTATGCTCGATTCCAGCCACAGGGGGTGCTGTCATTTCATCCACTATGGTGCCAATCATTTTGATCGTATTTCCTTCTTGCTTTTTGATCACCGGCATTTTTATGGTGTCATAAAATACCCCCCCCCATCCCCACTTTAAGTGGTCCCTAATTTCTTTACTCACAGCTCAGCTGTTTTCGAACTGCTTAGGTGGACAGTAAGCTAAGCTTAACAGTTGGGTGCTCAATCTGACTCGGTCTTCGAACTTGCCACCTTCCGGTTGGCAATGAACTATTGCAGCTGGTTATTACCCAGCTGTGCTACAGCCCGGCCCTCATTCTCCACTGTTTTCTACCTAACTTAAAAGCATTTGCCTGAAGGATAGGATAGACACTTCAGTAAATCAATCTGAATTAACTGGATGTGGAAAACACTGTTGGAGTGATTGTGTTTCAGGATCAGGGTGCTTTGGATGTGGGAAATGATGCCAATGAATTTCAAGATGGCAATGGTTCGGCCAATGATACTGATGCAGAGAAGAACCAGGAGATCCCTGTGCAAAGTGTAGTTTTCCATGAGAATGTCCCTGAAGGCTGTGGGGATGATGGTGTACTCCCTGAATTGTTACCAGAGAGTTCCCAGGATTTGGGGCTTGAAAACAACTGGGTAGCTGGCCCAGCTGGAAAACTTAATGAGCAAATAGATAGGAGGCAGGAGATTAGTCAAAATAGGCAGACCGAACAGTGGCTTTGGCGGTCTGCCAGAATCTGACAGAAAAAGATAAAGGAATCTCAATTAAAGCAAAACCAATTTCTGAGTGCTTGGGATAGCTTAACGAAGGGATAAAAGTTCCAAGTATGGGAAATGTAGTCAGAGGAAGCATCGTTTGGAATCAAGGGAAGTTCTTGTTCATGGAAGCATTGCTGGGAAGATTCTTGTCTAAGTATTTCTTGTTTCATGATTTGGATTCTTGGATTAATGTTTCCTGGTTTGCTGAATTATAAAAGTGTGGACTTTGCTGAACTTTACCCTGAACTATTTTTGCTTATCTTCTTACCTAATTGGATTTACCTATTTCTTTAAAGTTCTTTTTACTTGCTGCTTTTTAACTATTAGATAGATAGGAGGCAGGAATTGCTGAATTATATTAAAGAAGTGTGGACTTTGTTTTTATGGACTTTGCTGGACTTTACCTTGGACTATTTTTGCTCCTACTTATCTTCTTACCTAATTGGATTTGCCTATTTCTTGAAAGTGCTTTTTACTTGCTGCTTTTTAACTATTTTCAATAAAAGGATTGTTTTCCAATCAATGGTGTGGTGTTTAGAGTCAGAGGACTTTTCCTGTCCTGACGTGCAACAAACACCCCTAGCCCTTCCCACTGGGCTCAAAACATTAGAATTCAGACAGAATTGATGTAAATCATAGTTTAGAAGACACAGTATACTTTTTATTGTTGTTCAGAGTAATTTCTGGTTCGAATACAACCATTTCCCCCTTCTTTGGCCAGAAATGTGAATTAGCAACCAAACACGGGGCACTAAACTCACTTTCAATTATTGGTGTACGATTTGGATTATCACATCTCTTCTGTGTTACTGCTGTGTCCTAAAACAGAGAACCCATGAGAACGGGTAAAGTGTTGTTGGAAAAACAGTGAGAACAGAACTGATTTCCAATATGATAATTCTGAATGATCTTTCCCCCTTCCTGACACAAAATAACACTTACTGTAAAAGGAGAATTTAATACTGTTTACAATCATATTTTTCTCAATACAGCTGAAATACATGCGTAACTGTCCCGGTCCAAAGGCACCAAAAGAAAAGCAGCAAGAAGCCCATCATTTCAAACATAAAATGATTCAAAATCCACTTTTACCTGCTCCAACTGCATGCATCCAGGAGAAATACAGGGCAATTGGAAACTGTGTCATATGTTCTGCAGTTGATGGTTGGTGATGGAAGGGTTAATGTGAGTATTAGTTCTAGAGGGTTTGATGATCTGTGAGTGGGAGTTCATGGGTGAAAGCAATTAGGGGTGGAGGTGTGCAGGAGATGGATTGCAGGTGGGTGTTACTGGATTTAAGGAGCTAACCTTGAGACTGATCTTTGAGATAAAAGTATCATTTTTGGTGGTGGATGCTGCTGGTTCCCCCCCCCCCCCCCCAGGTCTGTTGGATTTTCGGTATCCTGACCTGTCTCCTGTAATCTTGGAACCCTGGAACCTTGAACTTTTGGACTGGCTTTTGACTACGGTATATCACTCTCGGCGTTTGACCACTGCACTGGACCCTTTTGACTATGAAGTTATTTTTGCTATCAGTTTTTGTTTATTCTGTAGCTGACCGCTATCTTTGTGTTTTATATTTTGGTCTTTTAAAACAACCAACAAGTAAGTGCTGTTTTAATTAAACTGTTTGATAAAACTGGGAGTTTGATTCATCTCTAACTAAATAAGGCAGAGCCCTGGCAACGTGACAGAATACTTTTCTCCCAAAGATCAGTCTCAAGGTTAGCTCCTTAAATACAGTAACACCCAGCTGCAACCCATCTCCTGCACACCTCCACCCCTAATTGCATTCACCCATGAATTCCCACTTACAGGTTACCAAACCCTCTAGAACTAATACTCACATTAACCATTCCATCACCACCACCATCAACTGTAGAACATATGATAAACTGCTGCATAGATGTAAAATGTCTATTTCCACTCTTCTGTGGCACTTAGGAAATGCTGGAGTTACACACTTCTGGAGGAAAATGAGGTTTCTTACAACTGGCTTCTGTTTCCAAGCTGTTTCCATGGTCTCCATTGTTCAAAACTTCCTGGTCTTGCCTTTTGCGTTTGTTGCCCAAGTGATTTGCCTCTTCGCTCAGTTTCCCCTCTGGGAGGCCAAGCGCCCTGAGACAGGCCACGGCCGCCGCTTGTTCCGCTAACTTTTTGGACTTCTCCCTGCAACAGGTCAACATAGGAACTTATACAACATTCAGAAACATGCACTTGAAACTGATCTGTCTTAGTATAGAATGGGAACAAGACAATAACAAGCACTTGTTCACAAACATCCACCTGTAATCTCTAATTTGTTTGTCTTCCTCTCACAAATGGGACTCAAGGCATTAAAAAAGTCATCATTTGTATGTACATATGTTTGTTGATTGTCCGTCTCTACAAAAAAAGGTGTACAGGTGGCCCTCTGAGATGTCACCAGGAAAGAAAGGTGACATGTGCATGATGGGAGGGAGAGGGGAAGGGAGGAAAAGAAAGAAAGAAAGAGTCATATGTTCTGCAGTTGATGGTGCTTGGTGATGGAAGGGTTAATGTAAGTATTAGTTCTAAAGGGTTTAGTAATCTGTAAGAGTTCATTGTTGAAAGCAATTAAGGGTGGAGGTATGCAAGACATAGGTTGCAGCTGGGTGTTTGTGGATATAAGGAGCGAGCCTTGGAAGTGATCTTCGGGAGAAAAGTATTGTCATATTTTGGTGGTGGATGCTGCTGGTTTTTCCCCCAGGTCTGTTGGATTTTTTGTATCCTGGCCTGTCTCCTGTAATCTTGGCACCCTGGAACCTTGAACCTTTGGACTGGCTTTTGACTACGGTATAGACCCTTGTTCCCTGGACTTTGTTTACTGAACTCTCGGTGTTTGACCACTGGACTGGACCCTTTGACTACGGTGTAGCTTTTGCTATCAGTTTTTGTTTATTCTATGGCTGAGTGTTATCTTTATATTTTATGTTTTATATTTTGGTCTATTAAAACAGCCAACAAGTAAGTGCTGTTTTAATTAAACTGTTTGATAAAATTGGGAGTTTGGTTCATCTCTACCTAAATAAGGCAGAGCCCTGGCAACATGACAGACAGACAGAAAGAGAGAAAGAGAGAAAGGGAGGGAAGGAAGGAAGGAAAGGAGAAGGGAGGGGGAAGAAATATTAAAGGGAGGGAAGAAAGAGAAAAGGTATGAGAGTAGGGAAGGAAGGAAAGAAAGAAAAAGAAGGGAAGAAGAGATGAGGGAAGGGAAGGGGGAGAGGGAGTAGGCGTATGAAGGAAAACAAGGGGGGAAAGAAAGAAAGAAAACAGAAAGGGAGTGAAAGGAAGGAAGGAAATGTCAGAAATATTAAAAATTATCTAGGTTTTTTTAAATTACAAAAATGTGAGTCAAGCACTTTAAGGGTTAAATGGATACAATGCCTCAGCAAAAGCTGCAGTTCAATGTAAGGTGTGCCTGTCGCTTAGTAGCTGCCAGTCTGAGGTAAACCTCAATGGGAGAAAAGTCTGTGAGAAGGCCTCACAGTGTGAAGGAGGCCTTAGTCTGTGCGAGAAGAGCCTCAGTGTGTTAATAGGCCTCATTATGAGGAGGCTTCAGTGTTAGTTCATCTCAGCGTGAGAGAGGTGACAGTCTGAGAGAGTCCTCATTGTGAGAAAGCCTAAGTGGGAGAAAGGCCTCAATGTGTTAGTAGGCCTCAGTATGAGGAGGCTTCAGTGTTAGTTCATCTCAGCATGAGAGAGGTGTCAGTCTGAGAGAGCCCTCAGTGTGAGAAGGCCTCAGTGGGAGAAAGGCCTCAGTGGGAGAAAGGCCATAGTATGAGAAGGCCTCAGTGTAAGTAGCCTTTGGTGTGAGTAGGCCTGGTGTGAGAAACTTTAGTGAGGGAAGCTCCAGGTTGAAGACTTCAGTGTGTTAGTATGAGAAGGCTTCAGTGTTAGTTCATCTCAGTGTGAGAGAGGTGATGGTCTGAGAGAGCCCTCAGTGTGAGAAGGCCTAAGTGGGAGAAAGGCCTCAGTGTGTTAGTAGGCCTCAGTATGAGAAGGCTTCAGTGTTAGTTCATCTCAGCGTGAGAGAGGTGTCAGTCTGAGAGAGCCCTCAGTGTGAGAAGTCCTCAGAGGGAGAAAGGCCTTAGTATGAGAAGTCCTCAGTGTAAGTAGCCTTCGGTGTGAGAAACTTTGGTGAGGGAAGCCCCAGGTTGAAGGCCTTGTGTGTAAAGCTACTGTGTGAAACTCCTGCGTAACTTTGGTGTGAGAGCGAAGCTGTTTATGAGAAAAAAGACCAGCGTGGAAGTAAAGAAGGAAGTGTAAATAACTTTGTTTGTGTTATGGAAACCTTGTTCTTGTAAATACTGCAAACATATTATTTTACCAAAAAGATAAGGCTCCTATGGAAGATATAACATTGATCTGTGTGCTCTTTTTATCACTTTGGGCTACTGGTGGTGGGTCACGCTGCTGCTAGTAAGTTACTCTGCTGTACATTTATGGAGAGGGTCTTTTGTTAATATGCCCATTTGCCCAACAGGAAGGAGTCACAAAGAGAGCCTACCCAGTATTATCAGACATTGTGAAGGAGGCCTTCTCAAAGCTGGAGAAGGGAGAAAGTAGACAGGCAGTGGTCCCTATAACACCGGGGTAACACTGGGTATATACGCTAGTTAATGAATAAAAGCACAACTCCAATAGGCACCACCCCCAGTCCAATTAACATCCATGTTGCTGAAGAACTGAACCAAATACACACACACACCAGACCCGTTTGGGAAAACAAATCCCCAAAGGCTTACCATAACGTTGAGCTGTACTTTTGTTCTGCTACAGTGACCACAGAACAGAAGAGTCTGTCCCGTGGCCTTTCGATCTAAAAGAGGAAGAGAGATTTCAGGGCTCATCTGATGCAGATTTTATAAAAAACGAAATGCTCACAACGCGACAGCTGATTCTGATGGAACCTATAACATTCAGAAAACCAGTTCCGCTAGAGCACACAGCACATCTTCATTCAACAGGTGTACTGTTGTATCCTGAAACAGTTCACTGATTTGGTATTTTAGCTCAAAGCTGAGAACAAATACCAGAATCCTGAGGCTGGTGTTGGAGTTCAGCCTGTGGTTGTGTCTAATGGTCAGGGTACTTGGGATGTTGGGAATAACAATGATGTTTCTGAGGTTCATGAATCGAATGATGTTTTTAATGATGAGGTTGCTATTGATGCAGAGAATGACAATGGGATTCCTGTTCAAAGTGTCTTTTCTGATAAGAATGTTCCTGAAGGGTTTGGGGATGATGGTATGGTCCCTGGAAGAGGGCCTGAATTGCTACTAGAAAATTCCCATGACTTTGAGCGTGAGAATAGCTCAGCACCTGGGCCAGCAGAAATTAATGAGCCAGTAGATAGAAGTCATGTTTTCAGTCAGTACAGGCAAACAAACCAATTCCTCAGCTGTTCTGCCAGACTGAGAGATTGATAACAGAGTCAAGGCTGAAACAAAATCCATTTCTGGCCACTTGGAACATAGAGTAGATTAGGGGATAAAAGTGCCAAGTACAGAATCTATAGTCAGACGAAGCAATGTTGGAATTGAGTCAAGAAGTCTTTCCTTGTCCTTGGAAGCCTTCCTGTTCTGTTGTGCGCTGGGCCTGTAAATAATTTCCTTTAGAACAGGACGTGCAAACTTTGCCCAGCGGGAAGCTCTCAGGGATCTTCCACCACAAATAGTCTTTAGATGGCTTGTGAAGTATAACAAAGTCCTTTATTAATGAACAATCAAACAGAAACTTCTCTTGTCTTCAGTAAAGTTAAACAAATGATTCCAGGCTTTTATGCAACTGGTGGCTTTCTAAACTTGCCCACGAAGGACAGGCAACTGTCTTCAATAACTTCTTCTTTACTTTAAAGGAAAATCCCCTTTTTAACTTCTCCCAGGCTGACTGTAATCTAACCCTTACTGATGTGGGCTCTGCTACCGGGTTGAACTGCGTCTCGAAGCACCGAGTGGACCTACCAGTAATGGCTTGGATATACTCCAGCTGGAGTTCTTTGGTCTTCCAAACTGTTCACCCTCCGAAATTCCTCAAAGCTTTAGGACTGCTTCCCTGGAAATCTGTGGGTGCTCTTAAGACTGTTCTCCCCGGAAAGTCTTAAGGGTTGAAGCTTTTGTACAGGGGAAGCTTGCACACGCCCTGTACATTAGCTTTCCTTGCTGAGACTAACTAAAAAATGGCTCCCTTCCCTTTTCAATTGCCCTGAGCAAGGGGCGGGGCCAAAACTTAATGATGATGGACAGGTGACTTGCCCTATGATTGCAACCAAAGGAAGCCACCTATCTGCAGAATCCCAGGAACCTTGGACTGCAAGCAAACACTCAATACAAAGCAAATAAAGTTGGAGCTTCTGGTACAACTGTACCAGCACACTTCCCTTGGATAGATTCATGTGCCTTGTTTGTTTCATGATTCAGGTTTTGGAGTTTTACTTTAGAAGTTTCTGTATTTGTTTTCATAAACTCTGATGGACTAATTTTCTGGACTATTTGTTTCTGCTTATCTTTCTACCTAATTGGATTTATTTATTTTTATGAAGTTTTTTTTTACTGCTACTGCTTTTTAATTATCATCAATAAACTCCTTGCATTTTTACTCAACTGTGTGGTGTTTAAAGTCAGAGGGCTTTCCTGACCTGGAGTGCAACAGCTGGAAACCAAAGACTCTCACAGCTGGTTCTGCATATCCTTGTTTCTTGAACAGCTACCCCTTAATAATGCATGGCACACAGATCCCCTATGTCTTGAAGAGACTTGTTGGCACAAGCCTCCCTCCAGCCTCACACGCTCTCCCTCATCCGCACATGTGCACCACACTGCTATGCGCCGAGCATGCCCGCTCTCCCCTCCTTGCTTGGAGTCTCAGAAACAGCCCTCTCCTTGGCTGAGAGACTGGCCAATCACAGTGGAGGAGGGCTTTTGGTGGGAGGAAGAGGACAGCAACCCCTCAGCAACCCCTTCTCTGCCAAAGGGGTTGCTCAGACCATCAGAAATATATGTTTTCTGATGGTCTTTGGCGACCCCGCTGAAACCCCCTCGCAATCTCCCCAGGTTTAGATGTAGCTTGAACCCATTGCTCCATCATGTCGTAGTCTCTATAGCTGTTGCACCCCAGGACAGGAAAAGCCCTGTGACTGCAAACACCACACTGTTGATTGGAAAACAATCCTTTTATTGAAGATAATTATTGAAGATAATGAAAAAGCAGCAAGTAAAAAGCAATTTAAAGAAATAGGTAAATCCAATTAGGTAAGAAAATAAGCAGGAGCAAAAATAGTCCAAGGTAAAGTTCAGCAAAGTCCATAAAAACAAAGTGCACACTTCTCTGATATAATTCAGAAAACCAGGAAACATTAATCTAAGGCATGAGTAGGCATTCATACAATCCAAGAATCTGAACCATGAAACAAGAAATATTTAAACAAGAATCTTCCCAGCAAGGCTTTCACGAAACAAGGATGAGAATTACACTTGATTTCAAATGATGCTTCATCTGACTATATTTCCCATAATTGGAACTTTTATCCCCTTGTTAAGCTATCCCAAGCACTCAGCAATTGGTTTTGTTTTAATTGAGATTCCCTTATCTTTTTCTGTTGGATTCTGGCAGAGCACTGAAGCCACTGTTTGGTTTGTCTGTTTTGACTAATCTCCTGCCGTCTATCTTTTTGGTCATTAACCTCTGTAGGGGCAGAGTTGTTTTCAAGCCCCAAATCCTGGGAACCCTCTGGTAACAATTCAGGGAGTACGTCACCATCCCCACACCCTCCAGGGACATTCTCAGGGGAAACTACACTTTGAACAGGGTTTTTCTGCATCAGTATCCTTGGCCAAACCATTGCCATCTTGAAACTCATTGACATCACTCCCCACATCCAAAGCACCCTGATCCTGAAACACACTCACAGGCTCAGCTCCAACAATAGCAGTAGAAAACAATCTTGTCCCTTCCTTAATGTGACCTCCTTTCAAATATTTAAAATTAATGTCTATTTCTGGAGAGACGTTATTATAAGACAGTGCTGGCTCTTTTTAGCGTACGTTTTGAAGAACGGAGACTCACCGTCTCGTAAACCGGTTGAGGGAGCTTCTCTTTCCTACACCATTCCAAAAGATGCATTTTGGGTGTGATCTGCGGGGGATATTCTCGCCTGAGGGGAAAAACAACACTGAATGTTAATCATAGAACACGTTGCTGTTGTTATTGTGTGCCTTTAAGTCATTTGTGACATATGGTGACCCTAAGAAAGGAGCCCCCAGTATCACAGTGGGTAAACCACTGAGCTGCAAAACTTGTTGACTCAAAGGAATCCGGAGAGCGGTGTAAGCTTCCTCTGTCAGCCCCAACTTCTGCCAACCTAGCAGTTTGAAAACATGCAAATGTGAGTAGATCAATAGGTACTGCTCTGGCAGGAAGGTAACGGCGCTCCATGCAGTCATGCTGGCCACATGACCTTGGAGGCGTCTGTGGACAATGCTGGCTCTTTGGCTTAGAAATGGCGATGAGCACCACACCCCAGAGTCGGACACGACTAGACTTAATGTCAGGGGAAAACCTATACCTTTACCTTAAGAAAGGAATGGGCAAACTTCAGCCCTCCAAATACCTGGGAGTCACTCTGGACCTTCAACTCCCATGTTGTTAGGAATTGTGGGAGTTGAAGTCCAAAACACCTGGAGGAGGGCCGAAGTTTGCCCATGCCTGCCCGAATACAAGATTACCATAGCACTTTCCCGGTCAAATCTGTTAAAGGGGGGATTCTGACTTTCCCTTCCACTGAGGCTGAGAGAGTGTGACTTGCCCAAAGTCACTCAGAGGCTTTCCAAGGCTCAGCAGAAATGTGAACCCTAGTTTCTCAATTTCCTACTCCTACACCCCAACGCTGACTCTCGCTATGGTAGTCCTTAATGGCAAAATGATGACTAACAGCAAATAAAAACGTTTGTAAAGCCTTCAGAAGGGATTGCTGAAGATGTAAACTTCACACAATGTGTCGTCTGAGCACCAAAATATATATTCTAGACCCAAGGATACTCCATGTGCTTCCTTGTCTGAGGAGTGATTTGTTCCAGAGTCTGGTTTCAGATAATCTTACATCTAAGGCCCCATCTACACTGCCATATTAAATCCAGATTATCCGCTTTGAAATACGATTTTTAAATAGACTCATATAATCTGGATTATTATTGCCAGAAGGGACAGAGAGTTTCATCTATGCTGATGATCGTGCCATTACTGCTCAAGCAGGGAGCTTTGAGATGGTTGAACAGAAGCTCTAGGTGCTCTTACTGCCTATTACATACAGGGAAAACCAGCTGATCCCTAATCCATCTAAAACACAGAGATGTGCTTTTCACCTTAAGAACAGACAAGCATCCTGAGCTCTGAGGATTACCTGGGAAGGGATCCCACTGGAGCATTGCAGCGCACCCAAATACCTGGGAGTCACTCTGGACCGTGCTCTGACCTATAAAAAGCACTGCCTGAATATCAAGCAAAAAGTGGGCGCTAGAAACAATATCATACAAAAGCTGACTGGCACAACCTGGGGATCACAACCAGACACAGTGAAGACATCTGCCCTTGCGCTTTGCTACTCTGCTGCTAAGTATGCCTGCCCAATGTGCAACACATCTACCACACTAAAACAGGGGATGTGGTTCTTAATGAGACATGCCGCATTATCTCGGGGTGTCTGTGCCCTACACCACTGGAGAAATTACACTGTCTAGCCGGTATTGCACCACTGGACATCTGCCAGGAAGTAGCAGCCAATAGTGAAAGGACCAAGGCAGTGACATCTCCAGCCCACCCCGTTTGGGTATCAGCCAGCATGTCAACGACGTAAATCAAGAAATACTTTTCTAAGATCTACAGAGACACTTGCTGGAACACCTCAGCAAGCGAGAGTCCAAAAGTGGCAGGCTCAAACCCAGAACCCCCTGGGCACACAGAAAACTGGGCGACTTGGAAGGTGCTGAATAGACTGTGCTCTGGCACCACGAGATGCAGAGCCAACCTTAAGAAATGGGGCCATAAAGTAGAATCCACGACATGCGAGTGTGGAGAAGAGCAAACCACTGACCACCTGCTGCGATGCAACCTGAGCCCTGCCACATGCACAATGGAGGACCTTCTTGCGGCAACACCAGAGGCACTCCACGTGGCCAGCTACTGGTCAAATGATATTTAATCAACCACCAAGCTTGCAAACTTTGTGTTTTGTATGTTTGTTTGTTAAAAAATGCAATACAACTGTTTGGTTTGCTCCTGACACGATAAATAAAGAAATCTGGATTATATGGCAGTGTAGAATCCAGCCTAACACTCAAACAACTGCATCACACTGGCTTCCCATAAGCACACCATGTAGGTATGTATGTAATGCAATTCCTGAAATTGTGCTCTATATTCTGTTAAGCACACTCCTTACTGACCAAACTGATCAACTTCACCAGAGGTCCTGGTCATTTACAGAAGGGTCAAAGTGATTAACACAATTTCCTTACAGCCATTAAGTAGAAATATTTGTGTCCACCCTCTAAGCAGGATACATTAGCTACAGTTATACTGAAAGAAACAATAACACAACAGGAAAAGGGATTTCTCTTGCTTACTTATCAAATCTAACCGCCATTTTTATCACGCCTGTGTCTTCTATTTGGTCCTCTTCACTTTGGTCCTTGGCTTCCAGCGACACTTTTTTCCCTTCCAGAAGAGCTGTTGTTTCTTCGTAGAAACTGCCCATCTCAAAGACTTCACTAATAAGAACAACAACAGTAAGGCATCAACGTTACTAGACATTTAAATTAATGTTAGCATCATCCTCTCTAGATTAGATTTTGTTAGAGAGTTGTGGACTTTGTTTTTGGGCATTGCTGAAGTCTACTTTGGACTAATTTGTTCCTGCTTATCTTTTTACCTAATTAGATTTACCTATTCTTTTAAAGTGTTTTTCTTTACTTTGCTGTTTTTATTTATTTATCTATATAAATAAAAAAATATAATGTTCGTTTGTGATACCATCAGAACTCAAAAACCCCTGGACCAATTGACACCAAGTTTGGACACAAGACACCTAACAACCCAATGTATGTTCTCCACTCAAAAAATACCCCAAAGAAACAGCAGAAACCCCAAAAATCCACACAAGGGAAGAGCTGCCATTACAGCATTGAGAGCCAAGCGTGTGCGCACGCACGGCCATATAAACAACTGGCACAGCAGGCAGCAGGCTTCCTCCCTCACCATGGCAGGGAGCTTCGTCCCTCACGGCAGCATACTCGGCCTATCCTGCACACATGGCCACACACATACACACAACTTCGCCTTCCCCTTGCCCTTTGCTTTTTCTTTTAAAGGTGAGGCAAGCAGGCGAAAAAGAGGCATTTCGCCCTGATGGTTGTGTGTGAGTGAGAGAGAGCGGGGAAGGAATCTCCCTGCAAGGCTTGCCACCCCTCCTCCTTTCTCCCTTCAGGCAGCTTCCTCTCCTTCTCATTCCTCCTTCTCCTGCCTCTTTCCTTCTCTCCCTTGCTCCTTCCCCTTGAACTTCCCAGGCGATCTCCATGGCACCATGACCCCTTCCTCTTCACCTTCCTCCTTGCATCCTGTGGCAACGGAGGAAAGAGAGAAAGGAAGAAGGGAGGAAAGAAAGAAGGAAGCATGGGAAAGCGGGGAGAGCGCGCCTTCCACAGCCCAGAGGGTAGAGAGGTAGAGAGAGAGAGGTAGAGAGAGAGAGAGGTAGAGAGAGGGAGAGAGAGAGAAAGGGAGAGAGAGGTAGAGAGAGAGAGAGGTAAAGAGAAGTAGAGAGAGAGAGAGGTAGGAGAGAGAGAGGGTGGAGAGGTAGAGGGAGAGAGAGAGCGGTAGAGAGAGAGGGGGAGAGAGAGGTAGAGAGAGCGCGCCTTCCACAGCCCAGAGGGTAGAGAGGTAGAGAGAGAGAGGTAGAGAGAGAGAGAGGTAGAGAGAGGGAGAGAGAGAGAAAGGGAGAGAGAGGTAGAGAGAGAGAGAGGTAAAGAGAAGTAGAGAGAGAGAGGGGTAGAGAGGTAGAGGTAGAGAGAGAGAGAGGGAGAGAGGTAGAGAGAGAGGGGGGTAGAGAGAGGTAGAGAGAGAGGTAGAGAGAAGTAGAGAGAGAGAGGTAGAGAGAGAAAGGTAGAGAGAGAGAGAGGTAGAGAGAGAGAGGTAGAGAGAGAAAGGTAGAGAGAGAGAGAGGTAGAGAGAGAGGTAGAGGTAGAGAGAGAGAGAAGGAGAGAGTCGCCCTTGGGCTGAGAATTGCGGTATATAAGCGAAGTAAATAAATAAATAGAGAGAGAGAGAGGTAAAGAGAAAGAGAGAGCCAGCATTGTCCATAGACACCTCCAAAGTCATGTGGCCACTGGCATGACTGCATGGAGCACCCTTACCTTCCTGCCAGAGTGGTACCTATTGTTCTATTCACATTTGCATGTTTTTGAACTACTATATGAATTGAAAATCATTCTGTCTATCTATCTTTTACAACTTGGCAACATACACATGTTGGCAGAGCAACAGTTAGTGCGTATGGGTGTGTGGAGTTGTGAAAATATAGTGGAATTAATACACATGCAAGATCATCCCCACAATAACCCCTCAAGACATGCACTCCAGCAGAGCCACTTATTTCCCGCGTGACTGTGTGTATTTGAGGGGAGAGTTGAGGAAATATAGTAAAACTAACATCCATGTAGGTATTCTCCACAACTTCCTTTCAACATAGACATTGCCATATTATCCACACCCATATGTGTATGCATGTGTGTGTGCATGCACTATATCTCCCCCCAAAGAAAGGAGACAAAGAGGGAGGGTACAGCTAGTGTTCAATAAAAGGATTATTTTCCTATTCAACGTGTGGTGTTTTAAAGTCAGAGGGTTATTCCTTTCCCGGAGTGCAACACATGCCTGTATGTCAAAGCAAAACCCAGGCTGAGTGACAGGTCTTAACTCAAAATGCTCTTAAGTTGGGATGCTCTTAAGTCGAGGCTCCACTGTATTAAACATTGAAACACAATTCCTTTGCCCTTTCCTCAGATGCAATACACAGGCAGTTTTATGGAGGTGCACAAAAGACTCTTACCAGATTTCTTGCATGGACTGAGCAGCATGGAGCTTCTTCCCTTGTGCGTTTTCTAACTGTTCCCTTAACATCTGGCACAAACAGTATTTTGTGTTGGTGTAATGATTGTCGTATCTGACTGCCTGGGAAAGAAATGTAAGGAAGGGGTAAGTTGGCAGAATATAAAAGAGATGTGGTCAAAGTGAGTTCTTCCCAGATTTTGCTTTTAGCTAATAACACCCCCGTCTTGCTTCTTTAAGTTCAGAGACTGAATGTTGTTGGCTGCCTGAAAATCTTATGTGTGTTCCACCCTGAGTCCCCTTTGGGGTGAGAAGGGCGGAATATAAATGCTTTAAATAATCTATATAAATAAAAATGTAATGTCCGTTTGTGGGATTAACAGAACTCAAAAGCCACTGGACGAAATGACACGAAATTTGGACACTACACCCCTAACAGTCCAACAAGTGTCCATCACTCACAACCCACCCCCCCCCCCCCGAAGTGGAAAGGACTTAAAAACCCAAAAAAGCCAAATGACAATACAGAAAAGGAAGGAAGAGGGAGAAAAAAGAAAGGAAGGAAGGAAGGAAGGAAGGAAGGAAGGGAGGAAGGAAGGAAGGAAGAAGGAAAAAAGGAAGAAGGAAGGAGAAAGAAGCATGGAAGTAAAGAGGAAGGAAGGAAGGAAAGGTAGAGGAGGAGAGAAAGGAGAAAGAGGAAGGAAAAGAAAAGGGGAAGGAAGAAAGAGGTAGAGAAGGAAGGAAGGGGAGAAGGAAAAAAAAAGGAAGGAAGGAAAGAGGGAGGCGAAGAAAGGAGAAGAAGGAGAGAAAGAGGGAGGGAAGAGAAGAGAAGGAAGGATGGAAGCAAAAAGGAAGGAAGGAAGGAAAGAGGTAGAGAAGGAAGAAGGAGAGAAAGAGAAGGAAAAGAAAAAGGGGGAGGAGAGGTAGAGAAGGAAGAGGAGAAGAAGAAAAGAAGAAAAAGGGAGGGAGGAGGGAGGGAGGGGAGGGAGGAGAGAGGGGAAGAAGAAGGAAGGAAGGAAGGAAGGAAGGAAGGAAGGAAGGAGAAGGAAGGAAGGAAGGAAGGAAAAAGGGAGCAAAGGAAGGAGGGAAAGTAGGCGAGAAAGAGGGAGGGAAGGTTGGCCACAGCAACGCGTATCGGGTACAGATAATATTTTATATTTTATATTAATATTTTCAAACCCCCAAATAACGTAGTACCCTAAAGCCTGAAAACGAATGGAAGTACCCCCACCCCGACTCGAGACTTATTTCATTGCAGTAGTCAAAAATCCCACTCCGTACATATTTGATATACTCCCGCATGACGTCCTTCAAGAGGCATGGACCTTCCTTCCTGAAGACAGAGGGGTTCCACATGGCAGCACGGGCCACCATCACTGACGATGCCCCGGTCGCTTCCCTGAAGGCCTCGATATCAGAATGTTCTTTAATGAAGTCGTGGGATCCGCCACTAAAATAAAAATGGTATCAGTCTCATCAGCACAGATAAACAAAACAGCAGCAGCTGCATTCAATAAATAGGGTGAGTTGTACACATTCTCTGTATACATGAGGAGTGAAATATGTGTTCTCGAAGGCTTTCATGGCCGGAATCACTTGGTTGCTGTGAGTTTTCCAGGCTGTCTGGCTATGTTCCAGAAGCACTCTCTTCTGACGTTTCACCCACATCTATGGCAGGCATCTTCAGAGGTTGTGAGGTCTGTTGGAAACTAGGCAAGTGAGGTTTATTTATCTGTGGAATGATGTCCAGGGTGGGAGAAAGAACTCTTCTCTGTTTGAAATAGGTGTGAATGTTGTAATTGACCATGACAGTAAAGTTAAAAATCCACCCAGAGGAAAAGTGTTCTCAGGGGCGGCTCAACCCATTACGCAAAGTAAGCATTTTCAGTATAGTTGATTTTGCCCAGGGGCGCTCTTGAGGCGCTCTTGGGGGCAAATACACCTTGACATATGTGAGTTGTAGTTACTGGGATGTATAGTTCATCTACAATCAAAGAGCATTCTGAACTCAACCAATGATGGAATTGAACCAAATATGGCACACAGAACTCCCACGACGAACAGAAAATATATATCAGTGATTGGTTGGGGGGGGGGGGGGCAAAATACTGTTTGCTTACCATTGAAAATTACCTAGGGCCGTCTCTGATGTTCTTGCCATACATCAAGGGAACCACTGAGTAGATAGGGAGGCTGATGAAGAAGCACAACATACAAACCATCTACAGACCCACCAAGAAAATCTAGCAAATGCTACGCTCAGCAAAGGACAAGAGGGATTCTCTCACCTCTGTATGAGTCTACTGTATATCATGTAGCTGTGGACAACTCTACATAGGGACCACCAAATGCAGCATTGCTCAGACACAAATCAAGGGACATGAAAGGCACTGCAGACTAACTCGACCAGAGAAGTCAGCCATAGCAGAGCACCTGATGAACCAACCTGGACACAGCATTATTATTTGAGAACACAGAAATGCTGGACCACACCAACAACCACCATGTCAGGCTACACAGAGAAGCCATTGAAATCCACAAGCATGTGGACAATCTCAGCAGAAAGGAGGAAGCCATGAAAATGAACAAAATCTGGCTACCAGTATTAAAAAAAACCCTCTAAAATCAGGATGGTAAATAAAGAACAACACTCGAAAACAGGGGAATTCCAGACAGGAAACCACCAGGGCCTGCTAACACCTCCCAACAAAGGATTCCCCTGGGCAGGAAGCAGCCAGACTTTGAAGCTGCAAGGCCATTCAATGCTGATTAAGGTGGCCAATCGCAACATTCACACCTACCTCAAGCAGACAAGAGTTCTTTCTCCCACCCTGGACATTTTTCCACAGCTCTCTCTCTCTCTCTCTCTCTCTCTCTCTCTCTCTCTCTATATATATATATATATATATATTAGGCTTGTTTGATTTAAAAAATGGTTCAAAACTCGTTTCTGATGTAGGGTGCACTGGTGGTTCGATTCTAAAGTCAATTCCTATTTTCACAGAAAAAAATGTTCAAAACTTTTCGAAACTTCCGAGACTTCCGAATGCTTCCTTAATGGTTTGAAAGTGTTATTTCCTGTTTCATTGGGTGGTCTTTACTTTGAAAGTATTTGTTTTACTCCAGAAGCGGGGGGAAGCAAAGGGAGGGAAGTCATTCACTCGGTTTTAAAACACTTCCCAGGCTTGAGCGAAGGCCAGAGACCAGAAGTGGGGAAACACTGACTCATTTCCAACTTACTTACTGCTTCGTAACAGAAATGGCGGAAAAAGCTTTGGAAGGGCAATGGGGCTTCCGGTTTCCTTAAAAACTTCGAAATTGCTTCAAAAAGCAAATCTTTCCAAATTTATTCCGAATTACAAGGATTCTGACCGAACCTAACAATGCCTAATATAATAATAATAATAATAATAATAATAATAATAATAATAATAATAATAATAAAAACTTTATTTATATACCGCTCTATCTCCCCGAGGGAACTCAGAGTGGTTCCCAGGTAAAAATCACAGAACATACAAAGTAAAAACAACATAACCATAAGATTAACAAAACAAAATATGGATAAAAATTGTCGCCATAACACACATATATTAAAAGTTATCCTGCCTGTTCAAGGCAATTTAAAAAAAATTTAAAAGGCTGGGCCAAGATTTGTGAAAGCCCAAAAATTCTAGGGGGCCCTGGAATTAAATATAATGCTATGGCGGGCAACAATAATATTAGGTACGGGTCTGTGGCTGTTCATTCCAGGGCTGACTAGAGGAAATGATCTGGGTAACTGGTAGGAAGAATAAGGCCATATTAGACAATGTGTGGGGCTGAGTTACAGCTGGTCTTTTTCAAAGGTTTGTTGAAACCACCAGGTCTTCAAGCTCTTATGAAAGGAGGGGAGCGATGGGGCCTGCCTTATTTCCCTTGGAAGGGTGTTCCAGAGGCGGGGGGCCACCACTGAGAAGGCCCTCTCTCTTGTCCCCACCAACCGCGATTGAGACGGTAGTGGGACCGAGAGGAAGGCCTCCCCGGAAGATCTTAGAGTTCACGCCGGTTCATAGAAGGAGATGCGATCGTGGAGATAGGCGGGGCCCAAACCGTTTAGGGCTTTATAGTTCATATAGGTATATATACCCCTCTTGCCTACTTTCCATCAGACCCCTCAACCTCTGAGAATGCCTGCCATAGATGTGGGTGAAACATCAGTAAATAATGCTTCTGGAACATGGTCATAAAGCCCGGATAACTCATAGCCACACAAATGTGAAATAACCTCACAAAGAATATGTCAAGACAAATTTACACTAGTCCTTTAATAGAGAGGGACTTTTGGCCAGACATGAGCAAACTCTGCCCCTCCAAATGTTATGGACATTCAAATGGTGGCTGTCTTCTACAGAATAGGGCATGTGGCCACCCTAAAATACATATCAGGCATGGGCAGACTTCGGCCCACCAGGTGTTCGGAATTGTGAGAGTTGAAGTCCAAAACACCTAGAGAGCCAAAGATTGCCCATGCCTGCTTTTGACCCTCTAGATCAGCGTTTCTCAACCTTCTTAATGCCGCGACCCCTTAATACACTTCCTCGTGTTGTGGTGACCCCCAACCATCAAATTATTTTCGTTGCTACTTCATAACTGTAATTTTGCTACTGTCATGATTTGTCATGTAAATATCTGATATGCAGGATATATTTTCATTCACTGGACCAAATTTGGCACAAGTACCCAATATGCCCAGATTTGAATATTAGTGGGGTGGGGGTGGGGTTGATTTTGGCATTTGGGAGTTGTAGTTTGCTGGGATTTATAGTTAACATACAATCAACGAGCATTCTGAATTCCACCAATTGAATTGAACCAAACTTGCCACACAGAACTCCCATGACCAACAGAAAATACTGGAAGGGTTTGGTGGACATTGATCTTGAGTTTTGGAGTTGTAGTTCTCCTACATCTAGAGACCACTGTGGACTCAAACAATGATGGATCTGGACCACACTTGGCACGAATACCCAATATGCCCAAATGTCAACACTGGTGGAGTTTGGGGAAAACAGACCTTGACATTTGGGAGTTGTCGTTGCTGGGATTTATAGTTCACTTACAATCAAAGAGCATTCTGAACTCTACCAATGATGCAATTGAACAAAATTTGGGATGGAGAACTCCCACGACCAAGATAAAATACTGGAATGGTTTGGTGGGCATTGACATTGAAATTTGGAGTTGTAGTTCTCCTACATCTAGAGATCACTGTGGACTCAAACAATGATGGATCTGGACCAAACTTGGCACAAATTCTCAATATGCCCAAATGTGAACACTTGTGGAGTTTGGGGAAAATAGACCTTGATCTTTGGGAGTTGAAGTTGCTGGGATTTATAGTTCACTTACAATCAAAGAGCATTCTGAACCCCACCAATGAAAGAATTGGGCTAAACTTCCTACACAGAACCCCCATCACCAACAGAAAATACTGCGATTTTTCTAATGGTCTTTGGCGACCTCTGACACCCCCCTCGCAACCCCCTGAAGGGGTCCCAACCCCCAGTTGAGCATCATTGCTGTAGATTTTGTTGAACTGCAAATTTTAACAGCCCCATCTAATATGGTCACAAAATTTTGGCAACTGAAGTTCAAAGATCTGCAAGTTAAGGGCTCCCCATGGTGTGCTTTCACATCATCAGACTTTCGAGTCCAGCATTCAATTTCATGGGAAGTAGAGGAGAACAGGTTCCTAGTTCTTGTGGTTCATAATAGAGGTCTGCTAGTGAAGAGAGAAAGCTTGCTGACAAAATGACTTAGCCAGAAGTGAAGAGTGACATTAATTACTCATGGTTCTTCCACAAGACTAAGAAAACCTGAGTTCTGCAAAAACAGTGAATAAGACAGTATCCTTGAACTTTATTTTTGCAAGCTTCAGTCTGGATTGTTTGGGCACAGTAGAGCAATCCAGTTTTCAGTAGTGAGTCCTGCAGTAGCATCATTCTTTTTTCCTTTGCAAGCCCTCAGACATCTGTCTCCTATGTTGTTTTTCTTTGATTTGCTGTCCATTACTAGATATGGATGAAAAAAAGCTCTCTAGTTCCACTTACTTGGCTATTACTGGAATAGAGACTGTTTCGGAGATCGCTTTGATCACATCACAGTGGACGGAATGCTGAGGCCTCTCTTCTTTCTTCCTTTGCATGGGAGACAAGAACAAAAGGTTTCTACATAGAGAACACATCTGTGCAGATAAAATGGCATGTTAGCCAGGACCGGCAAAGGCCAACGTCTTGGCAAAAGACTGGAATTTCTTTCTTCATGCAGACAAAGGTGAGGAAATAATAATAATAATAATAATAATAATAATAATAATAATAATAATAATAATATAAAATAATAAAATAATATAAAGTAATAATATAAATAAATAAATTATAATTAGTTAATATAATATAAATAATAATTTATATAATAATTATAAGATAATATATTTATTTACTTTACTTATATACCGCTGTTCTCAGCCCAAAGGCGACTATATAAATTATAATTATTATAATTATAATTATTTAATATTATATAAATATAATATAAATTAAATTATAATATAAAATAATAATAATATAATAAAATGTTAAAATAATATAGTAACATTTTATTACAATATTATAATCACACTTTATTTATATTCCTCCCTGTCTTCCCAAGGGGAACTCAGGGTAGATCACATTACACATACATGGCAAACATTCAATGCCATTTTGGACAGACAGGACAGAGACAGACAGAACACAAAGGAGGTATATTGTGTCGACATCCAGCTTTTTGGCACCTTGGAGGTTGTGCTCAATTCCAACCACAGGAGGGTGCTGTTGCGAAGACACTTTCTCCTTCTTTTTGGTCACTGGGCATTTTCTGATCTTTTCCTTTTATGGTGTCATAAATACCTCTGTTTTTTAGCGGTACCTAATTTCTCAACTTGCAGCTCTGAGCTGTTTTCGAACTGCTTAGATAAACAATGAGCTGGGCTGACAGTTGAGTGCTCATGCCAACCCAGGGCTTTAAACTGGCAACCATTTGGTTGGTAGATCTTATCATTGCTGGTGATTTACCAGCTGTGCTAAAGCCCAGAAAGTGTAACCTATGGAACTTTGGTCCCCCAAACCTTCGCCCATTCTCCCCAAACATATTTTTGCTGCTGCTACTGTTTAAAATGACCCCATACCCAAGGGGATTTGGTAAACAAACCTGTCATATCCTCCCAACCCTGGAACTGTTTCACACCCAGACGAGAGCATTTTGAATAAAAAAAGTAAACCACAAGCTGACTTTCCCCCAAAGCATCTTCCAAAAGCCTGATGTAGACACATGGCTGGCTTACCTTCCATGAACGGCAATAGCAGCAACTCCAGTACGTTCTATCCTCTTGACCAAACTGATTGTTTCTTCTTTCTTAATAGGGAAACGGGAGAGAAGTTCAATACTTCTCTTCAGTGCATGCAGCCGTTACTCTATGGTGATCTCAATCCATGCACTGAATCTATTCATATCAACATGTAAAAACTATAATATTTTATTTATTTATTTACGACATTTATATTCTGCCCTTCTCACCCTGAATATGTATGCAATTTACAAATATATATAATTGTGTGTGTGTGTATACATACATATGTATACATTTATTTATTTATTAGTCAAACTTATATGCCGCCACATATAAAATTTACCACCACATATAAAATTTACTACTACTACTACTACAATATGTTCATACCGTTGGCAGGATCCGGATTTTGCAGGTCACAGGCTTACAAACTCCTTTGACAAGCGTTGTTAGAATCTACAGAAGGAAAGACAAAAATGCTCTTTCAGCAAATGCAGTGGTTCTCAACTTGTGGTCCGTGGACCACCAGTGGTTCGCAAGAACTAAAATATGGTCCGCTGCCTCACAGTTACTACACCGTTGCAACAAGAGCAACTGGTCTCGTGAAACCTCCTTATAGTGCCGAGGCTTATTAAATATGGTTTTCTGTGGGTGAGCGGATGGCGACTATGTTCTGTATCAGAAACCAGAGCTGATGAGGTCTATCCAATGCAATTTTCTTCATCAGCACCCCAAATAACAAAACAGAAGCTAAATTTGATCAAAAACTGATTCGTAACCCTTTTGGTACTAATGATGGAGAGTGGTCTTTGGTCAAAAAAAGGTTGGGAACCATTGAGGAAAGGAAATGCTGCATTTCACTCTGGAATTACTTGACTGGTATTGCTCATCCTTCCTTCCCAGTTAGAAAGAGTATCAGTCTTTTTACTTCTCAGTTCTTTCCTCAGTCAAAAAAATTGGAAAATGCTCAACCACTTAAAAATTGTGTTCTCATCTTCTGAATTTGAGTCAAATTTCTAGCCAATCATCATCTGGTTATTGTTGTTCATTCGTTGAGTCGCTTCCAACTCTTCGTGACCTCATGGACCAGCCCTCCCTGTCGGTCGTCAACACCCCCAGCTCCCCCATCCATCCATCTTGCCCTTGGTCGGCCCCTCTTCCTTTTTCCTTCCATTTTCCCCAGCATCATTGTCTTCTCCAAGCTTTCCTTTCTTCTCATGATGTGGCCAAAGGACTTCATCTTTGCTTCTAATATCTTCCCTCCAAAGAGCAGTCGGGCTTTATTTCCGGAAGTATGGACTGGTTGGATCTTCTCACAGTCCAAGGCACTCTCAGAACCTTCCTCCAGCACCACAGTTCAAAAGCATCTCTCTTCCTTCGCTCAGCCTTCGTTATGGTCCAGCTCTCACATCCATAGGTGACCATTGCTATTACTATGAGCATCTTTGTTGCTCATGTGATGTCTCTACTCTTCACTATTTTATTGAAATTGGACATTGCTCTCCTCCCAAGAAGTTAGCGTCTCCTGATTTCCTGGCTGCTGTTCTGGCTCAGTTTGATTCTGAGTCTAAAACTGAACCCTGTGGGTCTTGTGAGCCAGAAATGTTTCCTGATGAAGAGGATGATGGATTCAGATTTCTGGGCTTGTTTCTGTGCCTGTCTCAGACAATGCAGCAGGAGAGACAACAAGTCAGTTCTCAAGGGAAAAGAATGCCAGTGAGCTAGATAACGGCCAGGTGGAGTTGTCTTCGCCTGCTCAGACTTCCCACAGTGATTTGGACCAAACTGATAAAGAGAACATTGAAGAGAGTGAATTAATGAGCAGGCAAGAACGCTTAGATTGGAGGGTCAGGAGGAGTTCTCGCTTAGCCAGTAAGAAAGAAGCCAAGTCGACTGAAGGTCGTCGCAATGCTTTCATGTTAGCAAAGGGTATTTAGGTTTCTGACTGACAAAGGGAAATTGTCAGTTCAACGTGGCTCTTTCCATGCAGACTCCTATGGATTAATCTTGGCTTTAAGCAGCATGCTTTTGGCTTCCTGAATCTGGGATTTTTGGGTCTTGTGTTTCACTGTTTTACCATGGACTCTTGTTTGATCATTGCCTAAGGATTATGCTTCATGTTTTTGCCTATGGATCTTTGGAACTGTGTTTTTGTATTCAACCATTATCTTTGGAACTTTGCATTGCTTATTCTATGTTTTGACTTTGTTTTTCCTCAATAAACTACAAAAGCTACAGCTCTGGTGTGGTGGTGTTTGGGAGCAAGGTGAAACCTACTCTGAGTTGCAACAGCTGCAATCTGCAGTAATCTTTGCAGCTAGAAATACAAAGTCTGTCACAGCCTCTATGTTTTCTCCCTCTATTTGCCAGTTATATACCAGTCTGGTTTTTTTTAATCTTGATTTTTTTATGTTTAGCTGCAACTCAGCTTTTGCCTTCTTCTTTCACCTTGATTAGAAGGCTCCTCAGCTCCTCCTCGCTTTTGGCCATCAAAGTGGTATCATCTGCATATCTAAAGTTGTTAATGTTTCTTCCAGCCATTTTAACCCCAGCCTTGCATTCATCAAGCCCTGCACATCGCATGATGTGTTCTGCATACAAGTTGAATAGGTCGGGGGAGAGGATACAACCCTACCGTATGCCTTTCCCAATCTTGAACCAGTCTGTTGTTCCATCACCTGGAAGTCACCATAAATCAAGATTTCTGACTGTAGCCTGATTGTTTAACCCAGAAGTAGAAACTAGGGAACATCCAGAGAAATCCCCAGAAGAAAATAATGGTGGTTATTTTATTAGTCAATAAAACCCAAAGCATTCTGGTCTGTACACACCATGAAGGTCTTATGGGGTTACTTAGAACCCAAGCTACAGGCACTTTGGGGGTTATTTAGAGCCCAAGAAACACTTGTTGTAGTAGAGTATGGCAAGCAAGTTGTTTTAATATGGTTTAACATGTAATTACCAGGACTGTCTTTTTTTACTGCCCTTTTCTGCTATGCCTAGAAGACCCTACAGGGAATTCGTGAGCAATAATATCACAAAACTAAATAAAATAAAAACCCGGTATGGAGACTACTTACTGATTCTATTTTATCAGGATGAGATAGCAACGCAGCCCCCATGCCTCCCTAAAAAAAAAGGGACATAAAAATACTTTCATTATTCTTTTCCTCATATACATACATACATACACACACTTATAAAAAATATCAACAGCACAACAATAGTTCACTGGAAGTATTAAAGCACCTCAAATTGGAGAGAGTCATCCTTGCTTCCATGGAACACAATATTTCCTTTACTGTACCACCAGCTATAGGCAGAGAGCTCAACGGAAAAAAAAGATGTACATACAATATGATCTCCTGTTGCACTGCAGAACAGGAACTAGCCCCTCTGACTATAAACACACCACACGTTGAGTAAAGGAACCATCCTTTTTATTAAAGCTTAGCAAAAAAGCCAGTAGAAATAAATGTTTGTAAAGATAGATACGTTTTCAAAAAGCAATAAGGCATTCAAAGGCAGCCAGATAAAAACAGCGTCCATAACATAGCAATCAAAAAAATGTCCAAAAAACATTAAATTATAATCCAAGGCAATGATATCCAGACAGGAATCAAACAAGGAGCAAGAACAGACCAAACGCTGCTTAAAAAGCCAGAAAAATCCATGAAGACGAAGACCACTTGAACAGGGATTCCATGAGGTTTACACTTGGTTTCCAAACGATGCCTGATCTGACAAAATTTTCTACAGACGAACCTTAAATCCCAAAAACAGGTTTCGCTTTCCCCCAGACCTTGACTTTAATTGACGAATTCTTTCGGATCTATGTCGATCTATGGCCTCTTGTCGATTCTGGATAATCTCCAGCTGCCGAATCTGCTTATCTGACTCCTCATTAACTCTAGCAGGTGTCTTATACATTTTATACATTTATACATTCTGTTTTATACATAAATAATATGTATAAAACAGTCTCGGATAAGTGCTGGAAATGTAAGGACCAACTTGGATCCTTTTACCACATGTGGTGGACATGTAAGGTGGCAGTTAATTTTTGGGCAAAGATACATGAAGAAACACAAAAGATTTTTAAAAAGAAGTTTTATTAAAAAACCAGAATATTATCTTATTAGGATTTACGGATTTGTATTTACAATTAAATGAACAAGAAAATAAACTTTTTACATATTTTATGACAGCCGCCAGGATTGTTTTTGCAAGAGAATGGAAACAGGAATCAATTCCACCCATAGAAGACTGGATAGGGAAGATTAGAGAAATAAAAGATATGGATGAATTGACTTTCTTGTTGAAGAAAAACACAGGTAATATTTTAAAGAGGACAAATTGGGACCCTCTCAATAACTATCTGGAAAATTTGCAAAAATGAAATTAAACACGAGAGACAATTTTTCTTTTTGCGAAGTTTAAATTTTTTTCATGAGAGAAAGGTAATTTCCAAGAAGATGGAATGAAAGTCATTTGTTTTTATTTTGATCCTTTTTTTGGTGTGCTTTTTCTATTTTTGGAGCTGTTTTTTAATCTTTTTATTATTGTTGTTTTTTACTTTTTTGGCACTTTTTTCTATGTCTTACTCTCTCCCCTTTTCTTCTCTTCTCTTTTACTTTTATTGTTCTCACTCTTTCGTTGTATTATGGAAAATATAAAAATTCTTTTTAAAAAACCTCTAGCAGGTGTCAGACTGTTTTCCAAACTATAATCTGTAGAGCTCACAGACGAAGGGAGTAAACCTTTCTCCCAAGGCCTGACAGAAGCATTCTCATGAGAATCTGCCCTTTGCCCCACATGCTCTTCTCTGTCAGTGTCTGCATGAAACTCATTGACCAAAGTGTCTCCATCTTGCACCTCAGAGTCAGTCCCAGCATCCCCACATCAGAAGCAACAGGAGACTGATTCCCCTCCTCATTACCCACATCAGACACAGAAACATCAGGAGACCTCACCTTACCTCCAAGCCACGCCCCCTTCTAAACCCATCCCCCCTCCCCTCCTCCCTCCTCACCTTACCTCCAAGCCACGCCCCCTTCTAAACCCATCCCCCCTCCCCCCCTCCCTCCTCACCTTACCCCCAAGCCACGCCCCTTCTAAACCCATCCCCCCTCCCCTCCTCCCTCCTCACCTTACCTCCAAGCCACGCCCCCTTCTAAACCCCCCCCTCCCTCCTCACGTTACCTCCAAGTCACGGCCCCTTCTAAACCCATCCCCCTCCCCTCCCCCTCCTCACGTTACCTCCAAGCCACACCCCCTTCTAAACCCATCCCCCCTCCCCTCCCCCACCTCACGTTACCTCCAAGCCACGCCCCTTCTAAACCCATCCCCTCCTCCCCCCTCACGTTCCCTCCAAGCCCGCCCCTTCTAAACCCATCCCCCCCTCCTCCTCCTCATTCTCCCCCCCAGCCACGCCCCCTTCCAAACCCCCCCCCCCTCCCCTCCTCCCTCCTCACCTTACCCCCAAGCCACGCCCTTCTAAACCCACCCCCCCTCCCCTCCTCCCTCCTCACCTTACCCCCAAGCCACGCCCCTTCTAAACCCACCCCCCCTCCCCTCCTCCCACCTTACCCCCAAGCCACGCCCCTTCTAAACCCATCCCCCCTCCCTCCTCACGTTACCTCCAAGCCACGCCCCCTTCTAAACCCATCCCCCCTCCCCCCCTCCTTCTCACCTTACCTCCAAGCCCCGCCCCCTTCTAAACCCATCCCCCCTCCCCTCCTCCCTCCTCACCTTACCTCCAAGCCACGCCCCCTTCTAAACCCATCCCCCCTCCCTCCTCCCTCCCTCCTTACCTACCCCATCCCCCCCCCCCCCTCCCTCCTCACATTACCCCCAAGCCACGCCCCTTCTAAACCCATCCCCCCTCCCCTCCTCCCTCCTCACCTTACCCCCAAGCCACGCCCCTCCCCCCTCCCCTCCTCCCACCTTACCCCCAAGCCACGCCCCTTCTAAACCCATCCCCCCTCCCCTCCTCCCTCCTCACGTTACCTCCAAGCCACGCCCCCTTCTAAACCCATCCCCCCTCCCCCCCTCCCTCTACCCTTCTCATGTTACCTCCAAGCCACGCCCCCTTCTAATCTGTCAAGGAAGAAGCATAGAATCATAGAATCAAAGAGTTGGAAGAGACCTCATGGGCCATCCAGTCCAACCCCATTCTGCCAAGAAGCAGGAATATTGCATTCAAATCACCCCTGACAGGAGAGAAAGAGGGAGGGAAAGAAAGAAGGAAGGAATGAGGTAGAAAAGGAAGAAAGGAGAGAAAGAGGGAGGGAAAGAAGAGAAGGAAGGAATGAGGTAGAAAAGGAAGAAAGGAGAGAAAGAGGGAGGGAAAGAAAAAGGGGAGGAAGGAAAGTTAGAGAAAGAAGGAAGGAGAGAAGGAAAGAAAAAAGGGACAGAAGGAAGGAAAGAGGGAGCGAAGGAAGGGGATAAAATATAGAGAAAGAGGGAGGGAAGGAAAGGAGGAAAGAGAGAAGGAAGAAAAGAGACACAGCAGAAGAGAAAGAAAAAGGGGGAAGGACGGAAAGCGATAGAGAAGGAAGGAAGGAGAGAAGGAAAGACGGGAAGGAAGGAAGGATACAGGGAGTGAAGGAAGGAGGGAAAGAAGGGGAGATAGGGGGAAGGTTGGCCACAGCAACGCGTGGCGGGTACAGCTAGTATGTATATAAATGTCTGCTTTCACACTTGTACTCTTCAAGCATCCGTACTTTAGAAGTGTCCTTTAGCGCAAATTGAATAAATTCTATGTTGTTTGCTTTCAGCTTGGTGAGATTCTCAGTTCCTGATTCCTGATTCATTATCCACGGTTAGCAAAACTTGCCACGTGTCCCTAGGCATCCACAGGACTTAGAAAAACTCTAAATGTTCAGCATCAATGTGTATAAACTGAATATATGTTGATCAGTGTTTTTATTAATGGATGTTGTGTAACTATAATGCGTATTTGGGGAAAATGGAAGGAAAAAGGAAGAGGGGGCAACCAAGGGCAAGATGGATGGAATCCTTGAAGTGACTGGATTGACCTTGAAGGAGCTGGGGGTGGTGACGGCGACAGGGAGCTCTGGCGTGGGCTGGTCCATGAGGTCACGAAGAGTCGGAGACGAATGAACAACAAAATGTGGGATCCAAGATACACTTTGTTTTTGAGATATCAGAAACAATTGGCTGGGGAACAAAGATGCTATACAGCAGCAGTTCTCAACCTGGGGGTCGCGACCCCCAGGGGATCGGTGGGCCATTTTCGGGGGGTCGCGAGGCCACTTTGGTTGACCCCGTTCCCTCCAAAATGGCTGTTGACCCACAGTGGCAGACAAACAGCTAGGCACTCCTGGTTGGCTCCTCCTCCTGTTCTTCCCACAGGGCTATGGTGAGTCAGGAGGAGAAGCTTAGAGGTAAAGGTGCAGGGCTGCAAAGGCTCCAAGCTCAGGAGGGGCAGAGCCGGGAGGAGGGTTCCCGCATGGGCTGTGTTGCATCCCAGTTCAAGAAACGAGACCATAAGATTAAATCCACCACACTGGACTGTAGGAAAAGCAATCCTTGTTTATTGATGAAAAATTGGTTACAAAAGAAAGGTAAATGCAAAGTCAAAAAGCCACAGAAAAACACAGCAGTCAGTAGAATCTCTGAACTTGAGCAAAATTTCAAAAGCCACAATACAAGAACCAGGAACCTGTTAGCCTTTTACTAACCATGAACTTGATAGCTACAAGCTTTTGGGATTACCGGCCATGAAACACAGGAATTCTGCCAAGGCACAGCCACAGTCCCAAACGTTGCTTGATCTAAAGAGGCACCCGGCAGGAGGCCTCTTAAACCAAAGAAGCTATTCTTTGAAACGCCCTTGACTTTGAAGCCTGGGCCTGTCTCTCCTGTAAACGATTTGACCTTCGTAGAAACTGTGAAACATTTCTGTCTCTAACTATCTGTTCTCTTCGGTCCTCATTTAAAAAAACCCAGGTGGAGAGATATCACGGCTAGTGATATCACGGCTAGCTTCCAAAACATTTTCCTCCAGCTGTTGAGTTTCATTTTCATCACCGCTGACCTCTGCATCAACAACAGATTCCACACTGTCAGGGTCAGGGAGAGCTTGCTCAGTTGGAAAAACTAT